TAAGACGGGACAACCATGCATGAGAAACATCTGCAGCTTTTTCAAACTTCCAGGACGACAGCTTTATCAAAGGATACCTAGAGGTACTACTTATCTAACCAACATTATATTTCCTGGATGGGCCCTTCGTGGGCTAGATACTGCCGTTGATGATCTAGACGTCGCTGTTGGCCTTCTGGCACCTCCTCGGTACCTCCCTGGTACGAGACAAGCTGTTTGTGTACGTTGCCGCGCATGCATGGACTACCCGGGGTTCACCGTGTCTGCCGCGGGACAGGCATATGAAGCTCTGGAGTCCAAGTCTATACGCGTAGCCGTCGACTCTCTATTTCAACAGGCCGAGACCCAGCTTCGAACACGGACGCTTTCGGTTCTACACACCACAGCAGCCCAGGTCGTACTCGGAGGACGGATTGGAATTCGACACTGGGATCGACCTGTATTCCTGTTCAGCAGCCTTAAGCGTGCGATTGAAGGTTTCCTTGGGTTTCGGTTCTTTGTCTTCCCTGGTATTGCCCTAGCTCAATTATCAAGTATTCCGATAGGTGGGCCGCTATCGGGGGCCATCCTACACCTCGTCCTCCCCTACCTCGAATGCCACTACGATCAGCACCCTATACCTAGGCCTACTACATCACGACGTGCGCTTGAAGTGGCTGCAGGAAGGTACGTTGACGACACAATCTTGTTATCCTATCGGGTTTGTCGTTCTTGTTTATGGAAGCAGATGTATTGTGTATACAAACAGACTGTGGCCTTTGAATTGGACAGCTCTTTCCAACAGATTGGGTCAAGTGTAGTCTTTCGTTAGCTGGATGCTCTTGTGGCTTGGGGGTTTGGCGGGGTCAGATATATTCCGCAACACAAAAATGAGGAGTATGTACCTAGTGGGGATCCCTCTAGACTTAAAAAGCGGAGTGCTCCGCCTCACCTCGGACACATTACCCGTCGTGAACTAGGACAATTACGATCTGAACTACAAGGGCGTCTTCATTGCTGGGATAGACTTAACCCTGACACTATCGACCTGATTGTTGTCTGTACTATCGACATGGCATTCCATTATCGTATGGGATACCCTCGTGGTTGTGTTAGGAAAATGTTGTATAACATCTATCCTCCAGGTGAACGCATGGACCTTGTACACCTCTGTCTAGACCTGGTGGAACGTACATGCCAGCATCTTACCCCTACCTCCACAGCCATTTCTTTTCGGTTGGACCAAGTTTCTGAGTTGATCGCACTCCGCCTACGCCGTTCTCCTCTCACCTCGTCTCCCAGCTCGTCCGCCATGGGGGCCCCCAAGGGCCACAAGGGATAACATTCATACTACAACAACGGCGGATCGGGAGGTAAAGGCGGCGGATACGGTAGCTGTAGCAGTAGTGGCATGGGTGGTTTCGGCAACGTGCTTGGACAATGGAGTGGCACGGTGGACAGCATTCGACCCTTTGGAGAGATTGGCCGCATCAGCAGTATCATTAGCCAAGCAGATCAAGCTGCCGCTGCGGGCAGCTCACCACCCACCGCTGGTGGACACCAGGCCATCCAGGGCACGGCATCGACTACCCAACCTGCTCGCGATTTGGCGCTGGCGCTCACAAGTGTGATGAACGGAGCCCAAGGATCTGACAGCAAGCTCCAACACACGATTTAAGCGTCTAGCAGAAGCAGCTGGCCTTGATGAGAGCTCGCCTAATGAGTTGGAGAACGATCCTGTCATAAAACGCATGCGCGCTGAGCTGGCTGCGATGCAGCAGGAGATCAAAGGCCATTCCGACCAGCTGCAGACGATCCAGACGTCTACGGCGACGACCTCCAATGACGTGAAGGCCCTGGGGAGTCTGATGGAGGGCATGTTCGCTGGTGGCGTTGATCCCTGGGAGTGGAATGCAAAAGGTGGCGGACAAGGTCAGCAGCAAGCTCAGCCAATACAACCTGTTCCAGCTCCACAAGTACATGCTGCGTCGGCTCCCGTGTTCCTGCCTGCCATGACTATTGCCCAACATAAGTTGGCACTTAGCCACCTCGGTATCTCGAAGAATCGCGAGGATGTCAAGACGTACGCATCACAGTTGCCAGCCGCAGGGACGCCGTTTGCTGCTTGGTGGGCGGAGATTGGCAAGAAGAAGAGCACCGACCAATGGATTCGCAAGTGCAAAAGCTTGGGCGCCACGGAGGGCCAGCTCGAAGGCAAGGACATATCAGCGATTGGAGGACTCCTATATCAGCACCTGGACCGAGATGGGGAGTGGGCTGAGTCACCACTTCAGTCAGCGCCCGTGGCTACCTGATTTTCCCCTTCTGATTACACGACATACGACCATCAGGCAGGTGAGTGTCGACAAGTTCCATCATACGTTCATGGGCTTGCGAAGTCGCCAGGGCAAGCTGCCTCATCTTCGTGGTGTGAGCTTTTCTCTAACCTCTGCACGCTCCTGTTGTCACTTCTCCCTCATTATGTCTCCTCTTTCTACCAGCTCTTGTCTTGTTTGTGCAC